TTAAACAGGTAATAAATTATATTTATAAGCAACAGAGCGCTACCTCCTTTGTTTCTTCATCTCAAAACACTGCTGTGTGAAGAGTCACCCTGCGTTTCTTTCCGACCAGAAAAGCTCTTGGATTCTGCAAGGATGGTAATCACAGCTTCCCCCGGGGACAGGATGCAGGTTCTAGAATCAGCATTTCTCAAGCCTCTCTGCACATGATAATCACCTGAGTAGCTTTAAAAACTACTAGGGCCTGGGTGGCTCAGTTGGTTAAATGTACTCTTGATTTCAGCTCAGGTCATGATCTCACAGTCATGAGATTGAGCCCCATCATGGGCTCCGTGCTGAGGCTGCTTAAGATTCATATTCTCTCTCTCCCTCTCCCTTTCCCTCTCTCTCCTTCTGCCCCTCCCCTGCTCAAGCTCTCTTTCTCTCTCAAAATAAACAAACACACTGCTAGTGCCTGACTCCCAACCCCAGACACTGATTTTATAAGTCAAGGCTGAAGCACGGTTGTTAAGAGCGTTTTAATGCCCCCAGGCGATAGTTGAGAGCAGTTAATGGGGAGAACCAGTCTTAGAAGAGGAGCATCAGAAGGTCCGGGGGAGCTTGTGTATAAGGATATTGGGGGGGGGCGCCTGGGTGGCTCAGTTGGTTAAACGTCCAACTTCGGCTCGGGTCATGATCTCACAGTTTGGGTTTGAGCCCCACGACGGGCTCTGTGCTGACAGCTCAGAGCCTGGAGCCTTATTCAGATTCCGTGTCTCCCTTTCTCTCTGCCCCTCCCTCCCTCATGCGCTGTCTCTCTGTCTCGAAAATAAACTATAAAAAAAAAATATAGTTATCTGATTTTATTTTTTTTTATTTTTTTAAATGTTTTTTTATTTATTTCTAGGAGAGAGAGAGAGAGACAGCGTGAGCAGGGGAGGGTCAGAGAGAGAGGGAGTCACAGACCGAAACAGGCTCCAGGCTCTGAGCTGGCAGTCAGCACAGAGCCCGACGCGGGGCTCGAACCCAGGAACCGCGAGATCGTGACCTAAGCGAAAGTCGGACGCTTAACCGACTAAGCCACCCAGGCGCCCCTATAGTTATCTGATTTTAAAGGAAGTTTGCACACAACTACACTAAGAGGTAGGACAGGAAAGATGAGCCCAGTAGCACAGGACGCCCAGAGCTATAGCAAATGCAGGACACCCCGTCACTCCTGGAGGGTGAGCCAGCACAAGGCTCCGGGCGTGCGGTGGACGGTGGCCATGAAACAGGAGTGGAATCGAAGGCGGCCCCTCCCTCAGTGAGCCCCTCCCTCAGAGCTACTTGGAGCCGTGTCCTTGGACGGAATGCAACCCGCCCACCCCTTTGTGATCACAGGGGTGGGTGACAATTGTACCAGTGCTGAGAAGCTGCCCCTTCCTGAGGCCTGGGAGATGGTGACTTCAGACAGATTTAAAGCTGGAGTCACAAACAAATGTTTGTCAGGACTGAGGAAGTAGTGACAGTGTGTAAACAGGAACCTGGGGAAAACAAAGGGGAGAAGTGGATCCTACGGCTGGACTAGAGACTTCAACTGCATCTAAAGAGATGAAAATACAGGGGCACCGGGTGGCTCAGTCGGTTGAGAGGCTGACTTCATTTCATGCTTTGGAGCCCCGCATCGGGCTCACTGCTGTCCGTGCAGAGCCCGCTTTGGATCCTCTGTTCCCCGTCTCTCTCTGTCCCTCCCCCGCTTGCACTCTCTCAAAAATAAACATTTAAAAAATAACGATGAAAATACAATTAAAGAATCAAGTGGAACTTCTCAAAGCAAGCACAGGGGCACAGGCTCTCCCACGCTGCCCACTGACCCCCCAGTCTGGAGCTTTGGCAGCTGGGATCCCTGTTGGCAAAGCTGAACCTACGAGAGCTTCCGAATGAGTGTGTGAGGGCGCTGAGATGCCACCGGAGTTGGGGACCCTAGGGAGCTCTGAGGCCTGGCCTCCCGGTGTGCCTGTCCTTCTGTGCCAGCACACAGGCACCGAGCAAAGAACCTTCCTCTGTCCCGAGGTCCTGCAGCTCAGAACCAAGGGTAGAAACTACTTTCCAGAAACAAAAGTCCTTCTGGGAGTAGGGTCCTCTGCATGTCACCATCGTGACCGGAAAAAAATAACTTCTACAACGACTTGTGCCAAGAGAAGACTCTGTTCTCCTCAGCTGGGGTTTACTATCCATCTGCCTTCGAGTCCTATGAACGGCCACAGCACATAAAAGTGGGGAGTGGGGCACAGTGAACTGTGACTCCTTTAAACGTTGCTAGCTCTATACCCTGTTGAACTCGGGCCGGTGAGGAAGAGCATCTGCTACGTGCTGGGCGTGGGGCCTGCACGTACTTCACAAATTCATCTCACGTGCTTCTCGTAAGAGCCCTAGCAGGTGGGTATTTTTATCCCGTGTACAGGGGAGAAAGCGGTGCTCAGATTATGCACTTCCAGAAAAGTGAGAAGTGAAAACCATGGTACGGGAGCCAAGTGGATCCGAATCCCAGTGACGGGATGAATTCCCCTGGCGTCCGTGCAGCTGGCTGAATGCAGCCAGTCACATGAAAACTTCGGAGTCCCTGGTAACCAAGAGAGTATTCTTACACTCTCTGTGCCCAAACGGCTTCGGGCTTCTCTCCTGATCCAGTCTCCAGCGGATCCCCTCAAAACTTTCTACCCTGCCTGTCAAGATTCACAATCCCTGCAAAAATAACCTAATACTTTTCCTCTCCCTTTGCTGAGGGCTTTCTCTGGTCTGAGGGGAGGCTGGTTCTGGGGCAGCGGCAATAGCCTCCTTCTTCCGTACCCCACATGTCACAGCTGGGAAGAAAAATGGGGTCTTCCTCATACTGCTCTGCTGCCTCCGACCGCTGCCCTCCCACGGATCGCACTGCTTTGTGCGTCAGCCTACCCGGCCGGGCCCAGCCTGTGTGTGGACTCGCTGCCCGCACAGACCACCGGCCATTTTCCTGTGTCACTGGAGAACTCGGCCTCACAGTCTTCGTTTCCTTAGACTGCCACCATCCTCGGGAGCTCCAGGATCCACGACGAGCCGTCCAGAAACCTTACTGTTGGGTTCTTCTTTAGGTACCAATATTCTTGCCCACTAACTAAACCCCCAGGCTCCTGTGATCACACCCTCCCCCCACCCTTAGCCTTGCTGCTCCCTCTCTCTGAAGCGCGATGGGGACTGCAGCCCCTTTCTGTCACTGCTAGTCCACCACTCCAGGCCCGCAAGGGTGCTCTGCCCTTGGACCTAGTTTCTCTCCACCCACCGGCTGCCTCTTTAATCCCTTCCCTACTCAGGACCACGTCAGCGATCTCCCCGGATGATGGTGATCCGCATCTTCCATGATCCACGACTGCAGACGCCCGAGAACCTTCAACCCCGAAGGACCCAGGTCTATACTTCAGGAGCTGATGGAAACTACACAGGAAAGCGGCACTGTGACTTTGTACTGGCGGCTAATGTTTAGTAATGGCAGAGTGCTGACTCCGTGCCCGATGCGTGGAGGGTTCCATCTTCAGAACCACGCCACCCATTAGGTAATATTATCCTCAACTTCAAGGGACAGAAACGGAGTCTCTGAGAGGTGAACACAGGTCCGTGGTCACGCAGCTGAGGGGATGTGAGAGGCTCCACACAGGCTGCCTGGCAATCCGCAGGCCACCCTCGCCACCGCTACGCCGCACAGTCAGTCTCACCAGTGAGCCGGGCCCTCGGCGCTGCCCGGGACCATCTGGCTGTAATTTTCCACAGTGCAATTTCAAACTGTCTCACTTGTCCCAAACCCCTAACTTCCTTACCTTGCCTCTTGCTCTCAACAGATGACTGCGCCTCCTAATGACAGAGAAAATAGAAGCCATCAGACCATTTCTCTTGCTCTCCCGCCACCAAACACATAAGCTTACCTGCATCACTTTCTTCCATGGGCCTTCCTGCCTGTTACGAAGTGACATTTTCAAAGATGGAAAGAAGGCACAGCTATAAGATAACAGACATGTTCATTCCAAGGGGAGAAAGAAACCATTTTATTTTGGGGGAATGTTAAAACAAAGCCATATACAATTTGTAACAAATACAATTGTTTGTTCCCTAGTCCTGAATAATTACAGTATATACAAATTCAATAAGGCACTGGTTCCCCACAAGAACACAAATGAATCTTCTTTAGAAACAGACAGACAACAAAACCTCTTATATATTGCCAACTTTTCTCCAAAAAATATGGCATTGTTCTTTGTTTTGTTTTACAAGAGAAATCATAATCGCTAAATTAAATCACTTCTGATGCCCCTTCTTTCATTCCCACTGCTATGTGACTGAGTTTTCTAAGGAGATATAACTGCAGAACTAGTCAAGCTTAAAAAATTACATTTTCAGTGCCTTCCCGGTCACAAAGAAGAACCAGAACAGACCAACGGCATGAACCACCATAACGTCTAACGACTCGGCACGGCTCTAGGAACACGAAATTCTGTCGGTATTCAGTATTTCCTGTACCTGACTACACAGCAATAGAAATGTGTCAAGGAATTCCCTGGAAGTAAAATCTTGGCATGTTTTCTAAGAAGCTTTATGTTTTAAGAATAAACAGAATGGTCACTAGTGACTGGTGAGCGGTGCTGTCCGGAAGTCCAAGGCCAGCCTCCTCATACACCATGTTCATAGCACTGTCACTTGTGACTGTACTAACTACCTGCTTTCATAAATAAATATTACGTTTCACTTAGTACTTTATCATCCATAATATTTTACTCTCTAATCCACATAATGGAGTTGTGCCAGACTCCAAACTGAACATATTTATATATACATATATATTTATATAATATATACACACATACATAAACTATAAATCTGAAAGTCTTAGCATACAAAACTCATATTAGCTAGCAACTACTATTTTAGGATTCTCTTGAGGAGGAGGGAGTGATGAGAGGCAACTCTTAGTCTTTGAAACAGTCTTGAAAGGAAGCAATTGACTACATTAATTTCCAGGTTCCCACTTATTATATTGAAAGACAAAACCAAAAAAAAAAAAATAATAATAAATTCACTTCTGAGCTACTAAAAATTTATAAATCAAAAAGTATTATTTGGAAGTGAGTAGGTAGTCTCTTTAAGAACAGTTTAGTATTCCCTAAGTCAGGTGGGTTTGGGTAAGATACAAAGAAAAATCTACTCATAAATAAATTCCTATCTCACTGAAAGACTCTAATAACTAAATGGGTCTTTTTAAATATATCAAGAGTAATCTTTAAATGTTCCTAGTGAGTAAATCAGGTTGAGGATTAGAAAGCAAGCTATAGATTTTCCCAAAACAACTAAACAAGTAATACAGAAGGAATATGGATACTATTTTAACTTCTTCCCATTCTTCACTGGAACCAACATGCCTCTAAAAATCTAGTTTACTTTCAAATCATCACCTCCCCACAAAGTAGTTTGATTTGAAGTTACCTATGTATAAAAGTTTACCGAAACTAACACGCATTTTTATCTAAGAGGTAAGCCCAACCTTGCTTAAATTTAGGGAAAATCAAGAAACACAACGTGTCCCCACTTAAGGGGCATCAATGTTTACTTATTTGTTTGTAGATTATCTAATTTGGAGGCACTGAAGTTTCTGTCCAAGGCTCAGATGATTATCACACTTCATTCTAGGCACACATTCCTTCCAAACTCTCACCAGAATACAATGTGACCCAAGGGAATGGAAGCTGCATGTTGCTATTCAGGTAATTTCAATCTCACTTAAAAGCAGCATTCTGGTTACAATTATATTTGGAAACAAGTGTTTTTAATCTGGGAAAAACAAACATTGTTCCTATTCAAGGGTCAAGAGAATCTTTTCTTTGTTACAAACAAAATGTGGCTCTCAAGCACTGGGAAGAGAACGCTGAATTCAGAACACTCTCCCTATGTTCTCCCAAACTGTAAGCCCAGCTCACAACCACTCTGTGCTCTAAGATGTTTTTGGGTTGAACAAGTCACCAGCTGCAAGCCTACTTCAGAAATGAGGAGAATATTTTCTCATTGTTCACGCAGCTGTCAAATTTTCAAACACCCTCCGTCCTTCAGTCATAATGTGTTATAAAACACTGCCCCCTGGAGTATTCTGGAAGGAACGTCGTGCTTAAAAAGACCTAGGAGAAGCCCTTCCCCAGTTCTTCACTAAACACTGCAGAATCGCGAAGAAACAAAGGAAACCACAGTAAAGAAACGTAGACGAACACAGTGGAGGGGGTGTGCACAATTTTAAGCTTTATGTTCCTGTTGCTAAGGAATATCGGCCCTGTCAATATTTGAGTCACATTCTGCAAAAGTTCAAACCCCACAGAACCGAGTAGGTGAGGAGATGTTTTGCACAAGTGCCACAGAGAAGAAAAATAAATAAATTAATTAGCAAGCGAACGGAACAGCATGAAAATAAAATAAACTGAGTCAGCACTCCTAAGACGTGAAATGGTCATTCAGGGCGTGTATGCTCGATCCATACCTATTTTAGAATAATAAATCACAGCAGCCATAATATTTTGTGCCCTCCACTTGCCCTCTTCTGTTGTCCCCTCTGGAGGTTACAGTTCTATTTTTAAATTAAAATTCAGTTAAATTAATCTGACATGCTTTCTCTCCTTCTCTTCGCTCAGACACAAAAGAGACAGACAATAACAAAAAGAAACTGTCTTTATCTATATACAAAATAAGGTAAGCACACTTCCCCTTGTGCTTCTGAGGCAGCCTCTCCTGCACAGGTGAGAAACAAACCATTTGCACCCCCAACCCTCATCTGCTACCTCACGGACATATTTTTCATACAACACAGGAGCAAATTCTCTTTTAAAGAGGCTTGCTTCTAACAAAACTGATGGCAATTGTATTTAATATTGATCCTTTCATTTGAGAGATCAAAACCACGCACGGGTCAGCTCTCGGCACATAAAAACACCTTTGTGGTTAATGAAAAGGAAAGGACTTTACCATGACAGAAATGCCTTAAAAGAATCAGAAACACAGAGTGGTTCTGAAGAACAGCATCAACACCTACTACTTCTAACCGAGTCCCATAAAACCTTCATTTGTTCCGTATTGTCTGAAGCTACAGAGGGTCAGCTGCAGGAGTCGCCCCATGTGGTCCCAGACAGGTGGTATGTGTACCCGGGTGCATTCACATTGCTGTGGCGGCCCCTTAATTCAGGGCTGGCCAAAGTGGTCTGAGGAGGCAGAAGCGGGGAGGTTTTCAGGTGAGTTCCACTCTGTGTTCTCCAACTTCGCAGACTGTCTCTTGGTTTGCAGAGTGCAGCAGAATTATACTAAAGGGAAAGGTATTTTAAAATTGACCTTCCAGCAGAATCTCTGGGAAGGCCGTTTGTTGTTATTACTTAAACTATAATAGTATAAACTTTAAAACATCTACATTATTTGTTCTATTTTGGCAAAATTAAAGCATCTTTTGAAAAAAAAAAAAAGGCAATCCCAAAAAACAGGGCTTTCTTAGAAAGCAACATGCATCATATCTTGAACAAGTTATCCAAGCGGTGTCTCCCTCCTACAAACAGACATGATGAGAACGTGTTTCTGGGAACTTCTCTTTGTCCAGGCTGCTCCCTGAGAGGTGAGGGTGAACCCACTGGGAAGCAGGGTGATGTTCAAGGCTTGGACTGTGGAGGCTTCTGGAACATCTTTCGCTCTGCCCACAAACAGAAGAGTATCTACTGGCTTTCTCCAGAGATGCTTGTTTCCCGCGCCCCCCCCCCCCCCCCGCTCAAATCAGAGTTTAATGTCCTGGGATTCTGACATTTTGGCTAGCGTTTTCTTGACGCGCAGGGCGGTCAGTCGTGATGCGGGATTGTGGGCCCAGCATTCCATCATGAGCTTTCCCATCTGCCTCAGACACTGTGGGGAGGGAAAGGAAAACTGGAGTAACACAAGACACAGGTATTACTATCTGATATCTGTCTTTTGGTCTGAGGCTTCAGAAGTCTGAATATCTATTTTTAAAATATTTTTAATGTTTATTTTTGAGAGAGAGCAAGAATATGCAAGCAGGGGAGGGCCAGGGACAGAGGGAGACACAGAATTGAAAGGCTCCAGGCTCTGAAATGTCAGCACAGAGCCCGATGCAGAGCTCGAACTCACGGACTGTGAGATCATGACCTGAGCTGAAGTTAGATGCTTAACCGACTATGCTACCCAAGCGCCCCTGACTGTATTTTTAAAAGATACTCCTAAAAGCATGTAGGCAAAATTCCATAAAAACTTTTCTTCATTCAAATTCTAAATGACTAAAACGAATTTTCATGTATTCCTCATGACAGTAGCAAGCAGGTGGTTTTGGTGATTGTAGAAGAGTATCTTTGAAGTCTGTATTAAACAAATACAAAAATACTCAGGGAGACTGCATTCCACTCCACGCTCCTACATTGTTTATAACACTTGATAAGCTTAAATCTTTTATCTAATTCCATACTATTCAAACACACACGGTTATTCCTAAATCACAGCTGTCTGCTACAATAATGGCATCGCACTGTACCATTTAACAAGATTAATGACCTGTGCACAGCCTCACTAAAACCTTCTCCTGTGTTCTCCTGTGCTACAACAATTATTGGCCTTCCTGTTGAAAAGCACAATTTCACTTCATTAGAAATCTTCAGTGAAGGGATTCCGAATAATACCAATGCCCATAACCACCTTCAAAATAAGAGAACTCCAGGATCTCATAAAGTTTTCCGCATAGCTCACTGGAAAACGTCTGCATTATTTAGCATTTCAGTAATGAGACACAAAACCTATGAACCAAGGATTATTTTTAAATCCATTTAACATTCGAGAATTCATTTATATACAGTGTTCTTTCCATTTATTGGCATTGGCTTTGGTACATGTTTGGTAGGCTGGGTGTTCTGGGGTGGGTTTTTTTTTTTTTTTTCGTGGGGAAAAAACTCATCTCTGAATATTCCCAGCCTGCCGGAGCACTCTGGGACGTGGTGAGTTTACAGGTTGGAGGGTGGATGGAGAGGAAGTGGAGGAGGAGATGAGTCAGGAAACACAAGGCGGCGTGACTCGTTTCCTCCTTCTGATGAGCTCCCTTCCAGACCTGTGCAGAGCTGGTCACTGTGTCCTCAGAGCCAGGCTGAATATGGGTTTTTTCAAACTGCATCGCATCGTGCCTGTTTGCCAAGATCCGTGGCCCAGATGGGCAGCTCAACTAAGCCAACTAGTATCCCTTCGGTGTGAAGGAAACTAGGTTCTGCAGACGCCTATCTTCTCTCCCCTCAAGATGAGAGACTTCTGTAGGCTGGTCTGTCATGGAGAAAATCATGAAGCTTTAAAGACACACACACACACACACTCACACACACACACAGGCACAGAAATAACATCCTTTATGCAAATGTCAGGACATCACAAACAAATGAAATAATGTTTACCCACTGTGCAGGCTAAGTGTTAACTCACTCAGCACACTCCATAAGTAGCAAAAGCACACTGGTAAAAAGAAACAGATAATTTAACATACTACACTGAGCTCCACATAAATGACTGCAGTGAACATGACCATCACCTTCACAAAAAGGAGGAGGGTTCCTGTAGCGAATATTTGGAATGTCGGCAAAAAGAGAAGAGTCTGTTTAGATGCTGGCCATAACCACGTGTTACCTGGAGCCTTACCTCATCACTACTCCACCGGTTGGGGAATGAGGGACGTAGCTTCTTGATGCACACGATCTCTCTCATGTCCTCGTAAGAGGGGTCGCTGGGCACTAGGTCATGATAGGGAAGCTGGTATTCTTCCACTATACCTGAAAATATGGGTTGTTTTTAAACTATTATGAGTGTTTCTTTTGGTGAGGCGGACGTAGAAGTCCAGCATGCAAACTGTTCCCAAAAAGCTCTGTCAGCACTAAAGACAAGTGTAGGCTGAAAAATCTCAAAATAAGTCTTTGAAAAAAAAAATGTGCCCCAATGACACTTAATCTAATTAAAAACATAAATAGAAAACCTAATGAAACATATTATTATAGGTTTTCAAGCCTTTTTTCTAATTTCCCAAAGCTAAGTGAAACAAGCATCTCAAATTTATTTCCAATTTTATAAAGGGTCTTGTATGCCAAATTAAAAAAAAAACAACACACACACATCTATATTAAATCTCAATGCAAACTTGGCAGACACATCCCAAACTCATACTGCATAATATGGGGCTGTTTCTATCACTGCAATATGAGATTATGAATCTCATAATAAATTTGGCAGTGTATCCTACTTGAACAAAATGGGAGATTTACATTCTTTCTGCTTAATCATAAGAACGCATTTTTCCACATTTAAAATTCAAAAAGTTATACACACCTAAAAATACTACTCGTGATTTTTTAGGTTCAAGAACTGCCTTATTTTTATTATTTTCTCCTTTAAATATTCTGTGTCTCACCCAACTTTTGCTAAGAAATACATTACTTTTACAAAAAAAGAGAGGTATCATGTAAAGAAGGGTTAAGATACAAACCTATGTCATCTTAGGAAAATGGCACTTACTGTGATAAATTCCATTTCATTTTTCCTAGTATCTGCTCTCTACCTTATTCCTTTTGTCCTTTAGAAAAGTAGGGTACTTGTATCTTCTTTTCAACCCTATCTGATTTAACTCCTCACAACAATTACTAGCAGCCTCTGTCCTTAGAGGACACTGCTCTGGGCGCTCTGTGTGAAGCACCTTTCCTCCCCATCTAAGTCATCTATTAGAGGAATGTAATTGCTCTTGGCTGAACGAGATGATACCACCAGGTTGGCAGATTATCCAAGGCATCATTAAATTGGCTGGAATTTTACTCTGACAACATCTGGAGTATTATGCCCTTTCTTGCAAACTCAAACCCATATATAAACCTAAAGGACAAGAGGGTTCAGAAGTTTCCTCAGACCATTCCAACTCACCATTGTCCTTGTTCCTCGAAGAGACCACAGAGCATGGCTGTATGTGCTATCTACACTATCCCTTCCATTGCGTTCCATGTCTATAGGAGATACTAAGAGCACAGGGTCTAAAGCATAGGGGATGCTCACACTTCATTTGAGTTCTTCCTCTGTTTGTAATTCTTAAGACAATGGCTCTGACAACACCTTGAGGGCAAGGGCCACGTTGGTCTTACTCATCTCATATTCTCCTCAATGTCTAGTGCTGGTGTCGTTACCAACATGGTGGTAAGCAGTATATATACTACAACAGACACCGAGCCAACCACATAAAATTGTGAATTAATCAAAGTCTCTCTTTGAACTATAGGCCTTACTTCTTTCTCCTTATATAGAATTAAGTTGTCAAAATTCCCATATTAGCTGTCATCTAATTGTGTCTGAAACCTCAAAAGTTATTTTTCTTCCCAGGTTTTGAAGACCTACATCCAGATATACCTAGTTCACCCAAAAGTCCCTGGACTCGAAAGACAAGACCAAAACTTCCAACATCTTCATAAAGGAAAAGTGTTGGAGAACAGAGTTTTGTGTATTTTGCCTTTCTGGAAGGAGAAAACAAACTCACTTCTTAGGAACCCACTATATACCAGGCATGAAGGTAAGTATGCTATATAACATACTATATTTATATAAGTGTGTTTATGAGACAGCATTATTAACCACATTATGCAGATGGAAAAAACTTAGTTTTGAGGGAATAAGTACCTTGCCCAAGGCCATACAGTTAGTATGGGGCAGATCTGGGACTCTAATGTCTCTGACAAACATATGTCAATCTCATAAAGAGACAAAGCAATATCTTAGTACCTCTCAAATCTCCAAAGGCAAAGACAGACCTACGAAAGCCATTTAATACTCTGCTGTTTTTATGAGGCTAACTTGTTTTTAAGCTGAAAATCATTTCTCCTGTGTTCCAGCCCACAGGCTTCCAAATATAGGTTTCTTGTGGCCTTGTTTGCTTTAGATGTTCAGGAAAACATAATTAGAGAAGCAATCTTGTAGTCTACTACTCCTTCAACGTCTACAAACCAATCTTAAATGTAAGCATATTATTCAAAAATAGGCTCATCTACTCTTTATAAAACATGAAACGAGGCACAGTTAGGTAACTTGTATTTTGGTTAGCTCTTTCCTTCTTCGTATATGATGGGAGATTTATTCACTATCTGGTTAGGAAACATTTCCTATGTTAACTTTCCTTTCAGAGTTCCCTCACTTAAGGGGAAATGTGTTCTATTTTAAATTAAGCTTCTAATAGGCTCAGGATTCCCAGGGTGATCAGAAGGCATTGCATCATGATCTTTCCACCAAAGTCTAAATGCCTGTTGATTAACTGTCTCTCCTCTATATTTTTAAATATGAATCCAAATATAAGTTAAGCCCCTACCAACCAAAATGAAAATTTTAAATAAGAGCTAACATGCATTGAAAGCTACTTATGTACCAGGTAGTTTTAATTCTCTTCAATTCACCTCCTTCTTAAGAGGGAGAACTGGGAAGTTAAGAAGCAGAGTAACTTGTCAAAGGTTACAGACAGTAAACGGGAGGTCCGAGAACAAACACCAGCCCCAGTGAGTGTTCTCTGCACTTTCTGAAGTATGGGCAAACTCCAGATTTCACAAAAGTGAGTTTCAACTGGTTGTGATGGGCACCCACATGGTCTCTTACCAAGCATGGCCGTGAGAATAACCATAGACAAGGTACTTGATACTGCAGAGCCAAAGATTCAGCATCTCACCTAAAAAAGTGCTGGAATCTGTTTAAAGACAGATGATGCAGCAGTAAACAAAATACTGCAAGCAATAATAATGCCTCTGAATATTTAGTAAGGTCTTGTGTTGTCTTACTAGGGAATCCTTGTTTGTAGGAAACTTATCATGACCAGAAGGAATACTCTTATGCTTTCATTTCCTTTTGATAAAAATTGATGTTTTCAGGGGCACCTGGGTGGCTCAGTCGGTTAAGCGTCCGACTTCGGTTCAGGTCATGATCTTGCGGCTCATGGGTTCGAGCCCCACGTCAGGCTCTGTGCTGATAGCTATCTCAGAGCCTGGAACCTGCTTCAGATTCCCTCTGGAACCTCCCTCTCTCTCTGACCTTCCCCTGCTCGTGCTCTCTGTCTCTGAAATAAATAAAACATTAAAAATTTTTAAAAAATGATGTTTTCAAACTGCTTTATGAAGAAGAACTATAGAAAATCAAGTGGGGGGAGGAGGTAGGTTACCAGTGGGTGTCCCGCCCCACATTTCTGTCTCTACCTTAATCTGTATAGAGCAAACCACAGGGAATGGGGTACTGGAGTTGGGGATGGGGCCCAGCAGGTTGGTGAGAAGAGGCTGGAAGGAGGCAGGCAGTCCAAGACGATTCAAAGATGGCAGACATCATTTCCTGGGGGGACTGTATCAACTGAAACAAGGTGGGAAATAAAAGAAAATCTGATACTGTGGACGATATGCCAACTCCCATTTCTGATCAGAAAGAAAGGATTTGTAGTAGGTCCAACAGTATCATTGTTACTTACCCCCTGACACACATCTCCTAGCAACCTCCCAGAGGATGAGTCCAAAACTGTACATGTCGGCCATAATGTAAGACTGAAAGTGATTTCTATTTAAGCTCTCGTCCAGCACTTCTGGAGGCATATAGCGCTTGGTGCCAACTCGGGTGTTGGGCGGTATGTCAACTTCGTTGGTATCACTGAGGAAGAAGGAAAGCAAAGCATGATCAGCCCTGGAAAGGGCCAACAAACGACAAATCGAAGGGGTTCCTGACCAGGGTTTCAGTGAAGGGTGGGAAGACATATCCTTTCACAGAGTAACGTCTCCGTGAAAAATATTTCTTGCTGCAAGTTGTATTAAATAGTCACACGTAAGAAGCCAACGAAGACGGCACAGTGAAGCCACAACACACAAGGCTGCATTGCCACCAGGTCAAATATACACGGGATAATCGCTATATGCCTATTAAATGCCTACAAATATCTTCTTCCCCTCCATATTTTAATAACTTTGCTCTTAAAATTGGCATGAGCACGGCCCAAGGTGGTTTGTTTGAGAAAATATTTTTAAAACCAAGTGTTGCAAGGTTTTCAGAAGTACAACCAAGTTTAAAAAATGGGGAGGAAGAGAAGCAACAAGGACCTTGAAATGTTTTACAGGATCTACAGTGGAGCTTTCTAGGGTCACTATGATTTCATAAACCAAACAGCCTGGACTTCTTCATAAAAGGAGGAAAGGAATAACTTAACATAATAACAGTAGCAGAATGAAAATTTCAGAACACGATCCATGTATCGTGATTTCCCATGGACTGGGAGAAAGTTCACGCTGGTGGACCCCAGTGTGCAGAACGGCACTTGGGAACTACTGCCTCTGTGCAGCGAGCGGGAGCCAGAAGTCCTGAACGGAGATATGTAAGGTCAAACTACTACTGCCTGATGAGTCAACAACTAACCAAGATGAGGTATGTAAAATCGTGGCCAGCCCAGTCCGAAGCACGTACCAGAGGCTTAACTAGCATTCTCTCAACAGACACTAGTGGAGCTAGGAAGAGCAGTGGAGCTAGGAAGAGCAATAAACCCCAGTCTTGGCGAGGAAACTATAAAACGGAAAGGGCACATAAAGTCATTATTAAACTGACGTTTGTGGGGAAGGGTGGCTAAACCCGGCTGTCTCCAGATTCCTAGGGAACATGTTTTCCTTCTTATCACGCTCCACTGACTCTAGCATTTACGTGTTATTCCTCCTCCATGAGGAAGTTACATACAGCAAATATCACGTTTATCAGGCTGTGTCACAGGCAATAATGCCAAACTTTCCTAAATATTAGCAGCTTTCGGAAAGAACCTCTGGCTTTGATCTCCCTGCCTCGGTCTTTACTGTCTAAAACATAAAATACGCAGTGTCACTTGGGAAAATTTAAAGGACGGCAGATGTCTCTCTGCAGATCTCCAAACTGTTAACATTTACTAAAACGCATAAAGCTTCATTCTTAGAACCATTTTAAATTCATTTCCAGCTAAAATCCTTAATCTAAAGCAATTGCAACAGATGGGCCACCAGTATTCTCATTAGGCCCCTCAGGATCTTCTAGGAGCGACCGCTCTGAAAAAGCCTGTTTGTTTTTAAAATAAAAGTTGAAGTGTAAATTTTTAAAAATAAAAATAAATAAATATATAAACTTTAGTCTGTAACCATGGGTCCCAGTGTCCTGGGCTCTAAGAGGCTCATTTTCTAGATAAATGTGAACTCATGATAGTTACCAGTTTGATATAACAGAAAAATGTCGTTTGTGTGGCTAAATAGTAAATGATAAGGGAAGACAGTGAGCCAAGAAGCAGCTTAATGATAATATGAAAACTATCAGATTTCAAAGACGCCACAAAAATTCCACCTTTAATTAGACGGACATCACTTCTGTGAGCACACAGTAGGTTTTTCATTAACGTGTTCTAATTTATAATTTTGAATCAGTAGAGGAAGACAGTGGTGGGCCTGGGTAGAGAATTCTAGGTTCTATGCAAAGAAACGAACATGGGGACTTACAGATGGAAAGAAATGTAGGCAAAGGGTCTACATTACATTCCAGAACATGGTCTGGGAAAGGAAATCAAGACCAGTCTTATCTCGGGCCCCTCAAGAGTATACTTCAGCCAAAGATATACTGTGACCACACTTGAGAAAGATTTCAGGCAACTCCTTCCCATTCTTGCCCTTAGCTCCTGTGTGCTTGCTTTGGATTTGCTAGCTCAGGAAGGGCTAACACGATGTCTGACACGGAGACAATCTATTGGAAACTGAAAGGTAACGGTCACTTGATGGCAGAACTAAGATTTCTGATGGGTAGACCAGAGTTCATCTCTACACTCTCATTCCCTCAAACCTGAACAAACATACAATCAAGGATTTTCTTGGCCCATCAGATTCCCAAAAAACATGCAGGCTTGGCATGATGGTCCTTCCCTTCCTTCCTTTCCCCACCCTGCTGTTTCCCTAGTAGTATGTGAACAGATGTCCTTCCTCAGAGTATTTGAGTAAATATCTGTCGTCCAACCTAAAAGTGTAAACTCCTTAAGCCTCGAATATCTGTCATCATCATTTCATAGCCCCATACCTCTCCATTCACAATGGGCTGTGCACGTGGTGGTAAATTATATATTTCGAGTGAAAGAAAGAAAAGGCCGGTCTACAGGAAAATTTGCTATGGATACTTTAAAGAGAAATATTAAAAAAATCTCTGTTGCATAGAGACCATAAAATGAGACACTAGCAATATTTGAGGGGTTAAACAAAATTTTGCTAAACAAATTAAAGTTGTAAAAGAGTACTAGAAACCTAATGGCAAATGCCTTCAGCACTACATTTAAATGACAAACATGGCAATTATAAGTAATTGATATCGGATATTATAAAGGGTCAGACCCTCCAAGACATATGTAGCTCCATCCCCTCTTGGCTCAGGAGGGTTTCTATATTGGAAAGTAATTAAACTGCAGCTCTCTCTCATGTTTTCAGTTAACATTATCTTAGCTGCTCCCAAATTAGGGAAGAGAAAAACTGAGCTTGTTCATCTTCAAGACCAAAAATAGAAGCCAGGGATACTGAACACCAGGGCACCAAGAATAAAGGAAGAAAAAGAAGCCGTAAGTAGAGTTTGATGGTGCACATCATGTAAGAATAGGGGACAAAGTAACAGAAGGAAAGGGTCAAGGAGAAGCATGAAACAGGAAAGGTCAGGGCGCCTTCAGCTTTCCCTTGCTTCCTTTTCCATGAAGGGGTAGGAAGGGTGAGAAACAAGGTTCACGAGGAAAGACAGATATCGTACAAGGAGGGCGGAGTCAGAGAAAGGAACTCTAAATGCACAAAAGAATCCTCTGTGCTCAATGGCTACACGTACACGCGGTCAAATCATAAAATCACTTAGAGCAAAGATAAATACCAACTTCAGGTTATGGGCTACTTCTGGGAGGGCTAAAGGGGAACAGAATAGGGAGGAGAATGCAAAGGGCGATCTTCAACACTGCATTTTAAAAAAAAAGACCAGATAAAAATAAGGCAAATTGTTAACTTTGTTAACATTATGATAATTGTTACATGAGTGCCTTATTATTTTTTATACTTTTCTGTATGTGTATTTTAATTAAGTATATGATTTAAAGGGGCGCCTGGGTAGCTTAGTCGGTTAAGCGTCCGACTTTCACTTAGGTCATGATCTCGCGGTTCGTGGGTTCGAGGCCCACGTCGGGCTCTGTGCTGACTGCCGGCTCAGAGCCTGGAGCCTGTTTCGGTCTGTGACTCCCTCTCTCTCTGACCCTCCCCTGTTCAAGCTGTCACTCTCTCTCTCTCTCCTAGAAATAAATAAAAAAATAAAATAAAATAAATATATGATTTAAAAAAAAAGAACTCAGGAGGATAAGGAACAAGAAAAATGTACTTTTCAAGGATTAAGGGATAGATTGGAGGCATAAGGCTCTGAAGGGCAAAAGACACCTAAGGAAAGTGGACAAAACTAGAGA